AAGCCTGGACTCAGAGAGCCTACTGCCAGATGAATTCTGGCTGAGTAAGGCTTCTCACCTGAGCTGCACGTGCAAAACTCTGTGTGTGTGTCTTTCTCCTCATCCTCATTGCAGGAATTCAACCTTATTGATAGAAGAGAACTTGCACCACTTCAAGAACTGATTGAAAAACTCACCTCGAAGGACAGATAAAAGGAAGAGGACTTCCTGAAGTCACTTGTTTCTTTAAGCAAGCGTGTGGTATTTGTTTTTTTTTGTTCATTTGGTTTTTTTTTAAAAAAAGAAAACAAAAACAAACCCTGTGCTGTTACCAGTGACAGCCGAGATCTACTTTCTGTGCTTTTACTAGGGGAAATCTTTTCTCTGTTAGTGACACATGGTAAATAGCTTTTTTTTTTTTTATTATTATTTTTATTTTATTGTTACTCATTGTGGAATTTCTAGCAGGTGCTGAGTGTTAAAGGAAACGTGCTTGGTTGGGGGATTGACTCTGCTGGTGGATGGGTTCTTGTGTTGTGTCAGTGGTAGCCCATTCTCATGAAGTCCCTAAAAGACTTGCTTACATTCTCTAAGTGCCTTGGCAGACTCACTTCTGAGGTGCAAAGCACATACAATACTGAACATTGCTGGAAACAGAAGATATGTACTAACACCCAGACACTTACTGATACTTGTTCTAGAAAAATATATATATGCTTACACTAAAAAAAAAAAAAAAAAGCCATAACTTGCTGAAATCAATGATCTCCAGCTTTTAATACAAATACTTGTCTTATTTTTTTAGAGATGAATATGGAATTTTTCAAAACTAGGTAATTTCTTACAAAGAAAAGCGAAGTTCTGGTCGCTGCAGCGAAACGGCCAAGGTGGTGTCAAAATCACACACACCTCGTGCTGAGCAAGTACCTCCACCTCTGTTGCCATGGAACTTTTCCTGGTTGCTTTTGCTTTTTTTAACAGGGAAGCACCAGTTGGGTCACTGAGCTCTTTGTTAAGCTCCCGAGCAGTTGCCAAACGAACGTTCAGTTTGCACAAACGCAGTTAGAGGGGAAAAAACATCCGTCGTAAAAAATTGCACTGGGGTAATGCTAAGGAAAACCTGGATGGGAAAAATGACTAGTGGAAAGGTATTTTTAAGTTGGGAGTACAAAAGCTCTGTGGGAGAGCTCCGATGGCCTGTGTTTGTTGTGGTGGGAAATCTGTCTTGGAGGGAAGCTGAGTTCATGGACCACTTTGGAGTTACATTAGCATAGAATCCCTGCTGCTGAGTACAGATGAGGTATTTCAGAAGAAAAATGTATAAAAGTGAGTCTTTGCTTGGAGATACCAGTGCAGTAATTCACATTTTTGGCATACTTCTGCCATGGGAGGGTTTTGTTCTTGTCGTTGTCGCAGTTTTTTTTTTGCTTTTTACTAGCCAGTTGTAGAAATCCAGAGGCATCTGCTGCAGTTCAGCCAATCAGAATTGGAATGTACTAAGTAAAAAAAAAAAAGAGTCTTTGGTGGATAGTATTTTTTGTATTTAATATCTGGCAGTAGAGAGACTTTGAGTAGTTTCTAGGCACGTAATAAAAGCTTGGAGATCATGATTTGCCCGACAGCTGTATGAACACATTGTTTAATCACACAACACTTGAAAATAACACCATTGAAGGTATGTTTGCAGTGGTGGGGATTTAGTATCCCCGTGCTGTTTCTATTTGCAGCTTTTCATTGTTGGTTTTTTTGTTTTCGCTTGTAAAAGCTGTGGGACCAGAAGTTGAGGTGTGTTTACGCTCTCGAAGTCAGGGCACATGGAAATGCCACACAAAATGGAATCTGGATCAGGTGAATGTGTTTATAAAATAGTGCATTTATGGGGGGGAAAGAGGGGGACACCCCCTTGCCCCCCAAACAAACCCCAGAGAAACAAACCCCGATGGACTCTGAGGGACCCCGAGCCCCTGGAGACAGGAACTTCCAGCTTTGTGGTCATTGGGAGCGGGAAGTGCCGGCCGGGTTAAACCAGGCCGTGCTGCCAGTGCTGCCTGAGGCCTGCCAGTCTGACAGGGTCAGAAATCCCGTGGTTTGGGGTGGCTTGCAGCTCTCTTGGACCTCATGAGGGATTCGGGTGGTGCCTTGAGGAGGGGCCACCTGCCTCGAGCTGGGAAGGGGCAGATGGCCGAATCCTTGGAGCTCAGCCACCCCGGCAGTGCTGCCAGCGCTCAGGTGATGGAGCCGGGATGTCTTGTCCAAGTCTTTCAAGTCAGGGATACGAGGTAACCGTGCAAAGAGGAAACAAACCCACTGCGTTGTGCTGGTGCCGGGAGCTGAGGGCAGAGAACGGGTTCCAAGGCCTGTCTGCAAGTATCCAGTTTCTTTTCCTGCTTACTATGCAATGTAGAGCTTTGAACTTCTGCTTTTCCTTGGAGATACTGAGGAGCACTGTCCTTACTCAGTCCTTAGGACCTGAACCCTGTCCCCGTGTCCCTGGCCCTCAGTTAACAGGTAAGGACACCTATTTGCTGCTATAGACTCGACTCACCTTTCAGATTGTTCCTTTCTGTTTCCTGCCCCCGCCCTCTTTTTCCCGGATCACCAGACACAGTTTTACTGCCAACACCTCCTTTTGGGATAGTTGTTTTTTCCTTGCTCCCCCTTGCCTACCTGCCAGAGTGCAGTTACTGTACATAACCCCCCTTTTAGTTGGATTATTTAAGAAGCTGCAGCACAAACAGAGATTCCTTGCTTTTTTTCCCCCCTAAAATATTCCCTTTTACGGCGAATCTCGTTTCCTTCACTGCTGATAGCAGTTGTCTCTTTTCCAACCTGCACTCCTAAAACCACTGGCAGTTTCATGGGATGCCTGTTGTCTTTCCCTGGATATCGTTTCTTTTAACATGAGACTAACATTGGTGATTTTCAGTGTTAAACCTTCTTATTTCCCTGCTTTTCTTACAGTTTCCCCTTGCCAGGTTCAGTTTGCAGCCTGTAGGAAAATATCCAAATAAGTTTGGGTTTTTTTGTTTTGATTTTTTTTTTGTTGTTGTTGTTAATGTTGTTGTTGGAAGAACCAATTCCCTAAATTGTTCATAGAGTAATGTATTTTTAGGGGAGATTAATTTTTTATAGCCACTAAACTATACTCATTATTTTTGTACGTTTGCAACTTGGGACATTTTTCCGAGCCGTGTCGCGGAGGGAACACTTATTTTCATGGCTGTTTGACTACTTGGGAATGCTGTGGTTGTGTTGTGTGGAGGCACATCACCTCGATGTGCAGTGGAAGAGAGAGAAGGATGCAATAAAGATGAGTGAGGTTTCAATAAAAGGCCATTTCTGAAGGCAAAGAAAAAAAAATAGTATATTCCGAAAGCGACACTAACCTTTCCTCCTTTAGAATCCTAAAATATATGGGAGAAAATACAGTGCAAAGTAAAAAAAAAATGCAAGGAGAGAACCCTTACTGTGAGCTAACTGTGCCAATACCGCTTCAGTTTGTAGTCACTGATGGAGACTTTAGTTTTAAAGGAAAACAGCTTTTGATTTTTAAAAAAAAAAAAAAAAAGAAGCTGAATGTCTGAAAATCCGCACCGTGTTTATTTGAGAGTTGTAAATAATGTATACAGATGGTTGTATGTGATGGGACAAAATATTTAAATCCTAGGGTTTTTTTTTTTTTTTTCCAATAAGAAACCGAAGGCTGTTTATAAGAGAAAATAAATAGCTATGTTTGACCATGACTGCCTTTATTTCCTTCTTGGACTTGTTTCTAAAGGATCTCCTACTCTCGAATAGATTTATTTTTTCCCCCCTCTGTATATTGTGAACATCTGCCCATGACACACCCGAGGATGTCACCAGGTCACCGACGTCACTCGTGGTGCAGACTCTTGCCCTTGGCCCTGCCCAGTAACACAGGTGCCTTTTTATTTTGGGGAGCTCTTCTTTCTCCTCAGAGCCTCCCGTGACCCCAGTGGCTGCAGGGCTCCAGATTTCCCACCTCCCATCCCCACCTGGCTCTGCCCCGTGGTAAGTCCGCTCTCACGTGCGCTTTGTGGAAATGGTGGTGAAAAACATGAATTTTGCCACAGTTTTTCAGCACAGATCTTGGGTCAAGGCTGCCCCGCTGCCTGTGCCCAACCCATAGATCTGAGGGGTTTTCCCTGTTTAACTCCATCCTCCAAGAATCAGAAGGGTCCTGTAGTGGGATGGTATTATGGGAAACGTGGGTTTGTTGCTGGCTGTAGAATCTTAGAATTCCAGAATGGTTTGGGTTGGAAGGGACCTTCAAGATCACCTCATTCCAATCCCCTGCCGTGGGCAGGGACAGCTTCCACTATCCCAGGTTGCTCCAAGGCCTGTCCAACCTGGCCCTGGACACTGCCAGGGATGGGGCAGCCACAGCTTCTCTGGGCAGCCTGTGCCAGGGCCTCACTGCCCTCACAGGGAAGGGTTTCTTCCTGAAGTAAAAAATCCCTTCCTAAAGTAATTCCTCCTTAAACTCAAGAACTCCATCCTAAACTTAAGAATTTCTTCCCAGTTGTTTTCAGCAACAACCCTCTCAATTCCAGTGCCGGTGCTCTCCTTTTGAAAACCAAGCCACTTCTGAGGTATTCCTGGAGCATTTTTTACACAGGCCGTGGCCCGGCGGGGGGGTGTGGGGTGTGTTCCTTTCCCTCCCTTCCCTGTTTGTTTTGCCCTGTGTGTCGGGACGAAGGGAGCCGCTGAGAACGGGAGCAGCTCGTGACGGGACTCATCGATGCGCTCCGCTGCCGCTGCTCTTGCCTGGGTCGCTGGGTGGGCGGATGGCGGGCGGGTCGGCCGCGGCGTGCGCGCCCGGCGTGACGTGACGTACGGGCCGGCCCCGGCGGGGCCCGCCGCTGTGCGCGCCAAATGCAGGCGCGCGGAAAGGCGCGGGCTGGGCCAGCGAGGCCCTCCCGCCCCCCCCCCCCCCCCTCCTCGCGCCCTCCCTTCGCCCCCTCAGGCGGGTCTCGCGCCCACGCCCCCCCCCCTCCCCTCCCCTCAGGTGCCCTCGCGCCCCATCGGGCCGCCATGGCCACCCCGCCCAAGCGCGGGCGGCACGACCGCCGCGTCAAGAAGTGCGCCGTGGAGGGGCAACATCGGTAGTCGGGGCCGTCACCGCCTTCGCGGGCGGGGCGAGTTTCGGGGGGCCGGGGGGGGGGGAAAGAGGTGGGTCTCGCGGCGCTCGGGGGTTCGGACGTGGCTGGGGCGGCGCAGCTCTGCGACCCACGCTCGCCTCTCCCTCCCCTCTCTCCCTTCTGCCGGGGCTCTTCCCGCCCTGCCGGGGCGGGGTGGGGCGGCGGGGATGCTTCCACAGGGTTTTCCTGGCCGTTTCCCCGCAAAAAAAAAACCCCCGCTTTTAGTCAGGTCAGGAGGCACAAACAATCCAATGCGTGAGGTCGGAGACTTTACCGCGACGCCGTAAGAATTCTACGAAACTGACGCGATTTGCGATTCTATTTACAGTTTGTAGCTCATTCACCTGCTTGGCGTTGACGTTTTGTTTTTTCCCGCACTTTTCCTGCTTGTGGCGTAAAACTCCCGGAGTCACAGAATCTCCCGGGCGGGAAGGGTCCCACAGGGATCACCAAGTCCTGGCCCTGCGCGGGACACCCCCGAAATCCCACCAGAGAGCATTGTCCAAATCCGTGTAGATGCAGATAGAGAACAGCCCTGTTGCTCCATTAATTGACGATCTGTGGAACACGATGGGCTCTGCTTCAAGTCCAGAGTGCTCGGGCATGGGCGACTGATTTGTGGGGATGGAAAGCGGAGTTGTGCAATGGTTAAATAACACCACTGGGGGTGGTTTCTCACTGACAAAATCTTCCTGAATGCTTTTCCTACAGCTGCAGGGAAATCCACCTTTGTGAGTCTTCTGAAACAAGCCAATGAGGAGTGGGAAGTGGTTCCCGAGCCCATAGCTAGATGGTGCAATGTCCAGCAAAACTCTGGAAATGATTGTGAGGTAAAAGAAAAAAAAAACCCAAATGCTCCTCTAATTTCAGAAATCCAGTATATCCAATCCACTGGGTGTTTTTGTGATAGCAACACTTCTGCTGATTCCTTTCACAGTGTTTGAGTTCCTCTTTTCTAGTTTGTTTGGTGTATTATGGAATAAATGTTATTCAACATCAGGATGCAAGTTCTAAAAGCGCTAAAAGCCTTTTTCCTGTATCAAAGCAAGGGATGGGAAAAAGTGAGGCAGAGTTACTTGTAGCAACTCTGAACTATCCAGGTGAGTGCAGAGGGTTGTTCCTGGTGTGTGAAGGTGTCCTCTGAAATATCTGGGAAATAATGAACCACTGCTAAATGGTTTATAGTGCTGTTTTTTCTCCCAGCTACCTGTAATTCCACTGGCAATCCAGCTGCTGCCTGGTGGCCACAGTCTGCTGTGCAAGTGGCTTTTGAGGGACTTCCTTTTGTTTTGGCAAAAATACAGTGTATTTTGGTAAAATCAGTGTAAACTTAACGGGGGTGTGTTGCTCCTGACTTCCCCTCAGCTGCCTTCTCTCAGAGTTAGGCAGTTCGTTCTCTGCTGATTTCCCCTTTGAATCCAGGAGCTGAGCACGTCCCAGAAGAACGGCGGGAATGTGCTGCGGATGATGTACGAGAAGCCGGAGAGGTGGGCCTTCACCTTCCAGACCTACGCGTGTCTCAGCAGGATCCGGGCCCAGCTCGGCGTCCTCGAGGGCAAACTCCAGGACGTGGAGAATCCCGTGGTCTTCTTCGAGCGGTCTGTCTACAGCGACAGGTGTGTGGGGTCCCTTCCTCAGGGAAGATCGCGGTTCTCCCGAGTAAAATCACAGGACACTTGCGGTGGAAATGTGTCCAGGCGGGTTTGGAATCTCTCCAGAGAGGGAGGTAGAATCACAGAATCAGTCAGGTTGGAAAAGACCTCTGAGGTTATCAAGCCCAGCCTATGACCCAACACCACCTTGCCAGCTCTAGACCATGGCACTGAGTGCCACATCCAGTCTTTCCTTAAACACCTCCAGGGACAGTGACTGCACGCCCTCCCTGGGCAGCCTGTCCCAGTGCTCTGCCACCCTCCATGGAAAGTTCTTCTTCATCTTTTTTTTTTTTATGGCCAATAAAAAATACACAAATAAATGCCCTGTACTGCATTTCTGGGTTCAGAAGGTGGGATTTGATAACTGAATCCCATCCCGTAGTTCTTAGGAGTTCCCTTTGCTCTAAGATACTGACAATAAACAGTGTACAAACCAGTTGTTTCATGGGTTATTCCTGGACACCTGAGCTGTAAATGTTCCTGGTCTGTGTGGACGCAGTTACAGGAGGAGGATGCCAGCTGTTTAATTCCACTCCAAGTGTACATCAGAGAGATGCTACAGTAGATTTACTACTCAGCTTCTTCTCTAGTTACTTCAGGCAAACCAAGGATTCCTGTGTCCGAGCCAGTTTGTGTTTCCATCGCTGTTTTGTGTTCCCAGGTACATCTTTGCAGCTAATTTGTACGAGTCTGATTGCATGAACGAGACTGAGTGGACTATTTACCAAGACTGGCACAACTGGATGAATGAGCAGTTTGGTTCGAAGCTGGCGCTGGATGGGATCATTTATCTCAGAGCCACTCCTGAGGTGAGGGATACAAATGTGTGACTGCACAGAGAACGAGAGTCCGTGTTCTGTGCCTTGCCCCTCAAGGGTAGAGTCCAGCTCAGGCTGCAGTGTTGCCCTGAACACTGTAATACTTGAGCTGTGACTAAGACTAAGTCTGGAAACACTTTAAAAAAAAGTTGTTTCAAACGCAGCCTGTGTATTTTAAAATCAACTGTGATGATAATGATCCTCTAATTATAAAAAAGAAGACGTGACAACAGCAAACCAGGAAACACCACTGGAACAAACCAAGCAACCCCAGGAAAGTACAAAATAGCTCTAGGAATAGCTATTTTGCAGGGAATATAGCTGTACAGGGAAAAGAACAATTGATGTTCTTTTAGTAATTAACCAGTCACAGCTGGTTTGGGGGGGTGGGCTATGAGGCCCCTACACCTGGGGCAGTGGAGCTAAGCCAGGTGAAAGCACCTCCTGTGTGTGAGGCCTTGTGACTATGCTTTGATCTTTGGGCATCTGGTGTTTGTTTAAAAGGAGAGAACGGCATCATGAATATCTCTCTTGAGTATGAAACCTGCAGGAACAGGAGAAAATGTGAGTTTAGAAGAGCTCTAATTAACCTACAGATCACGTCCATATTCCCTTGCTTCCAGTTTCCATGCTTTCAGCTTTGTTATGGTTGTAAACACTCCACAATGTAGCACACTGGAGTAACTTTGAGGGCTTTTTTGTTTTTCTATTTAAGAGAAGAACATGTATTTAAATTACAAAGTACAATAGTTGAACAGTTTTGGCTTGTTGTTGATGCTTTGGATGTGCTCAGGATGGGAACAAATGATTTACTGCATTGGAAAACAGTTCCTAAGAGCCAGAAGTATGCGGTGAGATTTGGAAATGCCTGTCTGTAATGTCAAATGGATATTTCTGTGCTCTTGGCACGCAATGCACCAATTTATTTATTGTTATTATCTTTTGCCTTTAGAAATGCCTGAATAGGATTTTCGTGCGAGGAAGAGACGAGGAACAAGAAATCCCCATCGAGTATCTGGAGAAGCTTCACTACAAACACGAAAGTTGGCTCCAGCATAGGACACTGCGGTAGGGTTTGTTGAATGGTTCCTTAAGGATGGATAAATCTTTGTAAGGGGTGTTCCATAATGCTTTTTCCACCAGTGAAACTCCGGCTTTTCTTACGGTTTGTAAAGCTAAACTCCAGGAACATTTCTATAATATTTCTATCAGTGCTAATGTATCCCAGGGGCCACGCTGTAAATTCAGAACTCCTGGCTGCAATTTAGAGATGCAGTTCTTTTCGTGTGTTTCTCAACAATGGAAATGCTGGCAGGGACTTGGATGCTGTCTGCTCTACGTTCAGCTACTAATATTTGCTTTGTTCCTCTCCCAATACAGAACAGATTTTGACTATCTGCAGGAAATTCCAATTTTGACGCTAGATGTTAATGAAGATTTCAAAGGCAAAAAGGACAGATACGACCATATGATCGAAAAGGTAACATTTCACAAATGGTTTAGGTTACTCTAATTACACATCACTGTCCAATCAACCTTCTAAAATGTTAGAGTCATGGAGTTACATGCAAGTAAGGAACAGTCTTGTAGCCTGCTGCAAAGCTCATTTTAAATCCAGGCCAAACCTTCAACATTTAACTGCGCAGGTGTTTGGTATTTGAACCCCCTTGGGATTCCAGCGAGGACAACTTGCCTTTTATCTTAGCAGTTGCAATGACTTACAGACCCCAGCAGTGGGACACATGCCTTCTTCTGCTCTGTGGAAATAAACTGTTACCTCACAAGCAAAGCAGCTTGGTCCTTTGATCTCTGTTGATCCACCCCAAAGTGGAACTGTTCACCTGATTAAAACCAGTCTTCCTGGTCGGGCTTGTTGATCGATGGAATGACAGGACATGGCAGCTGTGGGGGGTGCCTGCTTCCCACTGCACAGGATGAGATGAGGCTCAGGAGACTAAATACGGATTTTGGAGGAGTTTATTCTGGTGTAGCTGGCAGGTTATCTGGGAATAGCCTAAGCCCTGTGTGGGCCCTTTTTCTGCCATTTCCTAAGTGGAGCCCCAGAACTGCTGCACTTGATGAGCTGTGCTTTGGGCTTTAGTGTGTGCTGATGTCCCACAGAAACCCAGAGCCTGTGTGCTTCCTTGCCTTATCTGGAAACTCTGCCTGGTGTGTAAATGCAGACAAGGTTCTCCAAGTGGGATTGCTGGTGCCACTCTCTAAAGTGGAGGGTGGCTTTCCGGTGATTCCTTTTAAGTTGCAGTCTTGGCACAGTTATGTGTTCCCTTCTCTACAGGAAGGGATTTGACCTCTTTTTTTTATCCCATGTCCATGAGCCCTGACCTGGGAAGGGAAGGGTCACAGTTGGAGAGTGTGGTCCAAGATCTGTTTCCATTTCTCATCAGGAATTTGGACAAAACGTTTACAGATGGGCTGTGTGTAGGAGAGCCTCTGCCAAAAGAGTAACACTGGTTCTCTAGTAACTGGTCTATTCCATTCCATGGAGTAGCCTGGCTGGAGTGGGCAGAAAGGAGACTGCCCCCAGTTCAGGCTGTATCACAGCCTAGTTGCTCGGATGCTCCTGACACTTAAAGGCAGCAGTTGTGAGCCTGGTGTTGATCTGCAGTATCGGTTTTTTCCCAAGCACTGTGGTTTCAGTAGGTATTGCTTTATGATTTCTTTGCCAGCCTCATTCCAGGGAACACCCTGATTAGGTGCCCTGAGTTGTTCCCTGGCATTAAATCCCAACGGTGTCCTGGCAGTGGGCGTGACTCGGTGGTTTCCAAATGACAGCTCTTTTGAGGTGGTCATTATCCTCCTCCTGTTTGGGTTACACCTGCTTTTAAAGTAACTCCTTTGTGACTGTGGGCTGCAGTTCAGGACCGTGGGAGGAGTGAGCATCATTCCAGTGTGTCTCTCCCTGCACCTACTAAATTACAGGTACTGTGTCTGGGAATGTTCTTGATTGACAGGTAATGATGGCCAAGCCCAAGATCCTTTTTCCCTGTTTCTTTAGGTTGTAGTGAAGCATAAAGCAGTGGAGAGGTAAACAGAGTTGCTGTCTATTTCTGTTGATACACACTTAGTGTGATTGACAATATTTGTTTCTTTTTGCAGGTCAAAGAATTTTTGAGCACATTATAATCCTCTTTGAAGTGCAGACAGAGCCAAACCATTCCAAACATCTGTGCGATCAAAGTCTCAAGTGCAGCTTCTGCTTTTATAGAGGGCCTCTGGAGAGGCAGGACTCAATCCTGGTGATTTGACTGTGAGGAACAAATAAACTTTGTGAATAGGGAAATTACTAAATAAATCACTATGTCTGTTCAGTATTGTGTTAAGTAACACACGCAGATTCTGAAGAGACAAGGATTCTGAGCGTTCCCAAATATTGCACCAGTTTTTGATCAGGCTCATGAGTTCTAGAGTATTTTATAGATTTTTTTAAATTAATTTTTTATCCAGTTGCTATTTAATTTTTGAGAAGGTAGTGGTTTTTTAGAGACCTTCAATGTTTTTTAGTGGCATTGATTAGTAATGCATGTCTCGTTCTGAGGAAGGAAAAAGTGAAAACCATTTTTGCTGCTAAGGGAATTGCAATGTAACCTGGAGTTTTATATTTTAAGGTACCAAAAAATGTCATCTGATGATTTTGATAGATGAAGTTCTTCACAGAATACATGAATTAAATGCAAATAAGGCTGACATTCTGTAGCTGTCAAATGAGATTTTATATTTGTTTTCAATATGCACTGCCAACTAGGATATTCAGAAGCTTTCCATTCTCTAGCATGTTTGTTTGTTGGGTTTTTTTACCCTTTTTTTAAAGCTTTTATTAAAACAGAGCTGGTTTTGCTGTTGGTAACTCCTCTTCTCCTGGAGAGGAATATGTTTGCTTGCTGGGTACCGTAATAGGAAGAAGAACATTTTCCAAATGGCCTCCATCTGTAAATGATGTGTTTAGAAACCATCCCATGATCGCATTTGGGATGTCAGAGGTGGCTTCCTGCCTTTGTTCCAGCTACTCCACGTGTTCCCTGGGCCTTCTGGGTGCTTATACCAGATCCTGCACTATTTCAAGTAGGCTGTCCTGTCTCAACTGCTTCGAGTCAGAAGGGGACACCTGTGTGGAGTGGCTGCTGCTCCTTCTTGTATTGATTGAGCCTCTTGTTGCAGGTGCAGAAAGCACAGATTTGTCAGGGTGCAGCATCTCAAGTGTTGCGTTTTACGAGCTGCTTTGCTCTGCTTTAAAAGTTTCTGAGTGCACAGTTGGCTTTTGAAGGCAAAATTGTATTGCAAAGCATTTTATTGTCTACCTTGGTGCTGCTGTTACCTGCTTGTTGGAGATGAGATTTCTTGCTTTGTGGCTGGAATTGTGCTGGCTTTCTCTAACCATTGGCTGAAAAATAAAAGTGGTTGGAAAGACTTTTTCAGTGCCTAATACTGTTGGGTCTCTTGTCTCATAAAAGAAGTGATATTGTGGATTGCTGGTATGTAATACTGGTACAATGGATGACCTGAAGGTTGTGGATTCTTGGTGAATTTGGTGTAAAAAGTTATCTAAGGTTTCTGGGAAACTGACTGGCTTCAATTTTTTTTTCATGTGTGGGAAATGAACTTAAGGGAGGGACATAGGATTACATAAAATGCATCATATGTGTAACAGTGCTCAGTACAAGTGTGTTGTATAACATTCATGTTGTGGAAAGTAGAAGGAATCTGGCAAAAAAATCTTGTGTGAGACTCGAAGGTTGCCCAGTGAAAGGAAAGATTTTAACATCTTTGCTCCAGAAAGGAAGTGAAGTGGAATGGATGAAGATTCAGTTCAGATTTACTTGAAACACATAGTAGAAGCTTTTAAAATATTCTTGGCAAGAGTCTGAACAGTAACAACTTATTTTGACTAACAGTGCAATTATTCCTACAGTTTCAACTGTCAAAATTGTGGATTTAATTACAGGAATTGGAATGACAGTGCTCGTTGCAAGCAAGTAAACATGTCTGAGTTCTAATAAAGGCTTCTTTTGAAACCCATCACAGAGAGCACACAGAAATTCTGTGGCAGGTTATCTGCAGCCTGTTCCAGAAAGCTTTACAAAATCTCTGCCTGCCAAGTTTGGGTTGGAAGGAGCGAAGTCATGACCAATTATTAGAATGTTTTTAATTGGTGTGCAGAAAAAAAACAATACCAAACCCCAAACACACACCCCACCGGCCCCCGAGCTTCTGGGGGCTCTGCAAGTGGCTGGGCTGGAGCACACGAAGCTGTATGTAGGACACACAGCACCAGGGATGGCCTGAGACTCGGCTTAAACCTCAGCTCCAACAGTACCTCAGCCTTCTGAATCTGTCAGTATTTCCTTGGCTTAAATCTATTCCCAGGCTACCACAAACCAGGACTGTTCTGTTGGGTTTTGCCTATTAGAGATGCAAAAATTTTCTGCGCTGGTGTCTGCTGTTTGGGTGAGGATGGTTCTTCAGCCTTTGGGTGTTGTGTCCCTTTCTCTTTCCTTGGGTGAGAGATACTGGGATGCAATTGCCTAGGAATGCTTGCTTGTTTTAATCAATTGTCATCGTGATGGGGAAACAAAATCGGAATGTGGGTTTCTTCTGGTTAGGATGTGGATGAAATGAGTGATTAGTGCTGTTTTAGTTGTAACGCAAGTACCCGGGTGAGCAGTGATCTTTGTATTGCCTTGTTTTATTCTCAGCCCTTGTGGTTGTTTTCTGTATAGTGCATTTTAAGTTCTCTTCATAGGAACGCTGCTTAGGACAGCAACCCATTTTATAGGTAGGACCTAATTTTCTACAGTTTTGTGTCAGTTACTTATTTGTACTGTTTTCTGTTTACTTAAGCAGACTTCACAGTAACGGGATTGTATATAAAATGTGATTAGTGTTGAGAGGATCCTGTTCTTTTTCCAGTAATTAGACACTGAGGAGTCTCCTTGTGAAGTAAAATGACCCAGGAGAAACTCACCATAAACTGTTAAGCATAGACCAGGGAAGTCTGTATGTATGTGCAGTAATTAAGAATATCTTACCAAAAACCAGTGTGCAAGTGCCTGTGCCAAGGGGTTTCGGCATAGCCAGGTATGGGGACTCTCAGGTGATTTTTCCCAGCTCCTGTTTAGACTCTCTGCGTGACCACGAGTAAATAAATCACTCTTTGCCTCGGTCTTTTCATCTTTAAAATATTGATACCTCCCCATGCCTTCAGGAGGCTGGGAGGATGCGCTAGTTAATCTTGATGGGCTCTTTTGTAGGTCTGAAGTGCTGTGTTAAATAATTGAGGGGGAAGGCAGCCCTGGTTTTAGGTTTTTTTCTCTGGGACGTTTGGATGCCCCTGGCCCAGATTCATGGCCAAAGGAACTTATTTATTTGTTCAAAAGATATTAAAAGCCATCAGTGCAACGTTGGCTGCACTGAAGTTAGTTTGCTGAAAAGTACAGCTGCTGAAAACACCGTTTGTGAGGAGAGGAGACTTAGGAGTAGTTGAATCTTGAAATAAAGACTGATGGCAAAAGCTGTGCTGCAGTCCCTGTAGCTATAGAGGCAACGGGGAGAAATCCGTGCTGGGATCTGCCACAGGAGGTCATCGTGTCCCTGGGTCTCACTCGCTGGGCTGGCTGCGAGAGGAGCATTAGGGCTTTAACAGTGAATGGCTGTGGAAAAGGTAAAGAAGGAAGAGGTCACTTCCTCTCTGGGCCAGAGCAAAAACATAAAACTGATGAATAAATACTCTACTGAACGAGATAAATCTTGCTGTGGGGAGGGAGGGAGGGGAATAAAGCAAACCCCGCTGGATTAAGTGAACGACTAGAAAAGGCTGAGTGAATGGGAGGGGTTTGGTCAGCAGAAGGTCTTCCGTGCAGCCACCAGCTGTTTGTGTGCTGTGAGTGAATATTAGCACATGGATAACACTAATCCCGGGGTGTCTGAGCCGTGGCAGCCTTTAGCTCCGAGCTGTCCAGCCCAGACACAGCCCTGAGCAGTGCTGGGAAGGAAAGCACTGAGCAGTTCTGCTGCATGAGGCCCTGCATGTGCCAAATGAACCTGAACTGGGGATGCTGGTTCAAATGCACTAGTGATGAGGAGTTTGGATTCTGCACCGAGAGTAAGCAGTGAAGGGCTTTTCTTTTCCCTTAGGTTGGTATAATGTAATGCTCAGAGCCCAAATTGGAGGCTGTGGTGTGCAGGTGACTTTTGTTCTTGGTTCCACGTTTTGCTCCATGGTATAGGGAACACGAGAGCAGTGTAAATAAGAACGTGGTGCATGGTGAATGAGAGTGCAGGCTGTATTACCTGTTCATTGGATTTCTGCTGACTGCTCTTCCCAATGTCCTGGGCGGGCTGGACATTCCATATATGTATGTCCAGGATGTCAAGGCTGTGCAGCTTGCACCACGGATGTTTGCTGGCTCATAGTACTGACTGGCTCGGAAAAAGGCAGTTGGTTCCTGAGGGTTATTTACCAAGATGATGCCACTGCAGCTCTTTGAGAGGACATGCTGTGCTTTCTCCTGTCCTGCATTTTGTGCTTCTCTCTCTGATTTCCTTCTGAGCTGTTGTGACTTGTCTTTTAATAACTGCTAAAACCACGATCTTGTACAAGTCATAACAGATGTGTTAAAGCCAGTGTTTAACTTGGATGCAACCTCCTTGAGGATGTGGCTTCTGCCCTGTTCTACTTGGGTGTCTTAGATGTTCTAGTCCTCTTTTCCCAGCAGTTCTGCTGAGTTAGCCCACCTGATTGCTGGGGCTCTTCCTAACTCCTCCTGTTTTCAGCACTGTCCATGGGCGTGCGCTGACAATGTGCCCTTTTTGCCATAATTCCAGATTTGCCTCCTCTGGTTTGTTAAAACGATGGCTGTTGCTCCCTGCTGAGCCTCCCCTGCACCTGTGGCACGTGTGGCGTTGTCCTCGCTGTGGCTCGTGGCCTTTACCCCGACCCCTCAGCCCAGCACAGCGGCCTCAGGTCATTGACTGGCTTGTTGGTCAGTCACCTGTGTCCTGTCCGAGCTGCGCCTCGTGAGGAGAACGCCCGCGCTCGCGGAAAGCAGGACCTGACTCCTTAGGTATCACCCCTGAGCTGCAACGCTGCTGCTTTCCTCAGGGCTTCCTGCAATGGTCCAGCATAGTCGGGTAGGTGTTCCAGGTGCACTGGTCCTTGCCAAAGTTCCTGTGGGTTGGGACATGGGAATATAGCTCAGTTCTGTGGAACTGAGCAGTTTTAGGTCTTGGAGAGCAAACTGAGGTTCCTTGAGGCTGAGAGCTCTCCTTTCCTCAGGTACTCTCCGTTGTCAGTGTGCCTTGTGCTGCTGTGTGT